CAACAAATTATCGGTAAAGCTCTTTGTAGGTCATGGGAATAAAGTTAAAATGTTCCCTTTCTTTTCGGGGTTCTCTAAAATCTTGTTTAGAAGTACTGACGGTACAACTGCAGTTGATTTTGGGCTAGAGATTGTAACACCTTTATTGACGTGGTGGATGTTAACTTCTCCATCCCTCTCCCTCATAAGAGGTTTTTTACTAACTTCCCCATCCTTAATCTTGCCTTGTTTTATGGCCGACTCGATCATTTCTCCTACTATAACTAAGTCTGAGAAGCTTCTTGATATGATGGCAACCAGGTGTCCGAAGTATGGAGCCTTCAAGGTTTGTACAAAAAACTTCTGGGTTTCTTTCTCATCCAAGGGCAGATGAACTTGTATAGCCAAATCCCTCAATTTCTGTGCATATTGTCTGAAAGTCTCGTTATGCTTATTTTCCATGCTTTGTACCATACTCGATCTGGGCTCATTTCATTGGCGTGCTTGTATTGTTCCAGAAATGACTTGGCCATGTCCTTCCAGGTCTTGATATATGATCGGCTTAGCTGGTTGTACCACCGGATGGCTGAGCTCGACATACTCTCCTAGAAGAAGTGGATCAAGAGTTGGTCGTTTCCTCTATATCCTGTCATCTTTGGCAGAATATGGTGATGTGAGTGGATGGACAACTGTTCCCGTCAAACTTCTCGAATTCCGGGGACTTGACTGAGTTTTGCGGCATCGACTCCACTGTAGTCATTGTCTCCTTTGACTACATTCATTTGTTCATCCAATTGTTTGATTTTTCCTCTATCTTCTTCGTTTTGTCCTCTTCGTCCAAATCCGGTACATGATAATAACCTGGATTGTTCTTAGGGTTAAATATATCATTCTGTATCTCTAAAATATATGGGGTCTTTGTTTTTGTAGCAGATGAGTCCCCTTGAAGTTCCAGGTGAGACAACCACTTGCGGGGTAGGTGGTATAGTTACCCCTTCCGGTGAACCTGCCCCAGGTGCACTGGTCTGTTGTAGACCAGATAACTTGGCCACAATTTGATCAACCAATGACTCTTGGCTTTTCATGATTGTATCCAAAGTACTTCGACTGCTCTGGTTTATCTTGTCTTCTAACTCTCTCTGGAGCTTCAACATGTTCTCCTCGATCTGAGCAATTCTAGCTTTCATCTTCTTTTTTTCAAGCAAGTGTTATGCAGATGGGGTTTGTCTAACGCTTGAGGTGGTGTATCCAGTATTTGTTCCTTTTGATGAGACATGCTTTGTTAGTTAATGCAAATGTAAAGAAAAATAACAAAATGCAAAATATGTCTAGATGCATAATGCATGCAATGTTCGAGGCATTGATCCAAAAAAATGTGTATGTTATTATAAATAATCCTTATTGGGGACAAAAGTGTTACGTATGAAGAGATAAAAAACATTTTGATGGTATAGATCCCGAACAACCTCTGACAAGTTGATTCGTCTTCCGTCTTTTCTGTCACCGATTGAATACCCTGTCAAGCTGTTTCGGCTCCTCTGGCTAAGCTGTGCAAGTGATGAGCTGCTTGCCCCAAAAAGTCTCGAATGACGGCATCTCCGATTTTTACTCTCTGTTGACTCTGTTCCTAACAAATGCATCATTAGAGCCCTTCATCGATAGGAACTATCCGAAGCTTGCTCCTTGAATTTGTCAAAAATGGCATGTTGTCTTTGAAGGGACTTTCTAAGTCAATAACCTTTTGTTGTCTTGCCCCAAAAAAATTTTCCCAACTCAAAAAGTTGACTTTTGGTGTGCTCGGTGTAAATCCCGGTCTATCCTGAGTATTCTTTGACCAAAGCTGGACTTCTGAGCTTTTCATCTCTTATGTTATAACCCCTTTGTCCATTAATGCAAATTATTTACATTTAACGAACACGTTTTTGGTGGATCAACACATCTTTTGAATGATGCAAATAATGAAAATAAAATAAAAGATAACAAAAATGAAAAGAGTTAGTGAGGTAAAAATAATCAAAATAGTCATGAAAATAAAAGTCCTACCCCACATGATATCTACCCCACATTCTTATTATTCCTACCCGGACATTATCTCTATCCCGCATGTTAATTTCAAACAAATCCTAACAACATATTTGTCTAGTTCGCATGCTTTGAATAAAAAGTAAAGCAAGAAATAATTCAAGCAGCCTAGGGTTTACAATTAGGCTTTGGGGTGAGCTCTAATTCCCTGTAATCTCCCAGTTTAGGTTCTAAAAAGGTACTCGAGTTCTCCTTGCTGGTGCCCCTTGGGCTTGCCAGACCCTTAGTTCTAAGCCTATAACAAGCTTGTGTGGACTAAGTTAAACTCGATAGGAAACATTCCCTTATGCCTGTGCGGTGAATAAATTCACACAAAGACATAAGGTATATGAATCCCGAAGGTTACTTGCTAGGCCTGTGCAGAGAATAAATTCTCACGAATACATCGTTTTACCCCCACTTAAAAAGGGTTCAGAGCTCGGGTATAGAGCTAGAGATAGAGACTTTTCAAAAATATGAAATTATTGGAAAAAATGCCAGTACAACTATTTATTTGAAAAATAATCAAAGGTAAATAATTGGAATCGAATAAATAAATTGAAATTTATAATTTTCGCTAAAAAGACAACCGAAAATTAATTTCGGTGTGACTCACTTACCTGTCCCTAGTGGAGTCGCCAAGCTGTTGCGGCTGTCTTTCGGTTGGGCCCAGAATTGGGCTTCGACGTGAATGAATTGGGTTAGAGTCGCTACCGATCACTTTTACGAGCATTTAGACGGATCGGACACCATCTTACCTGATCTGCGTTTTACCAAAGATATGTCGGGTTCAGGAGTCGGTTACGATCAAGGAAGGATTAGCACCCTTGAACAGCCCTTTCGGTGCCAATTAATTTGCCGGTTGTCTTTAATTGCGAAAATTAAAATATCCAATTCGAATTACTTACCTTTGATCGATTGAAATTTCTCTATCAAGGTAAAAAATATTGGAAAAAAACATAAGAATGAAAAAAATGATAATAACAATAAATCAAAGAAAAAAACAATAAATAGATAAAATCAATAAAAAATAAAAAAAATAAAAATAAAAGTAAAAATAAAATAAAATAAAGAAAAAAATAAAACAAAATAATAAATAACCTAAAAAATAATACTAGAAAATATAATAAAAGAAATATATAAAAAGAGTAAAATAAAATAAAGGGACAAAAAGGAAATAAATGAACATAACATACATATATACTAAATAAATAAATAAAAATAAGAACAAAACAAAGAAACTGAAATATGAACAAACCAAATTGAAATAAAAACAAACTTGGATGATTGAGGCATGAAATCTCCCTTTTGAATCGTAAAAACACGTGCAACATTAAAAAACCAAAGTTTTGGTTTTTAAAACCATGCCTCGTCTATCTCAAATTCAAAAGAGGGAGAGGCTCTGGAATTGCAGTGGTCGAGTGTCGTCTGCCGCTGGGCTCTAGTCTTTGTTCGATTCTATGTTTCACGAGGTGTTTTGCCTCGACGTTGGAAACACGAATCCAACCTCCATTTTATACGAAATGGTCAATAAATGTTTCAGCTTTCACTCTCGAATTTGCTGCCGACCACTGTTGGATCGATTTAATTCCAAAGTATTCCACTGTTCACATCATCGAATGGCTCATCCGATCACCGGGAACAAGTGTCGACCGAAAATGAGAGCCTTCTTTCTCTCTTATTTTATTTTTGCTTCAGTTTTCCTTCTCCAGCAACACCTCTCAAGTGATTCCACTGTAACTCCCCCCTTTTTCAGAATCGAAGGCGAGTTCCCCTTTGTGTTTCTTGTGTTTCCTCTCTGAACTGCCCCCTCGAATATCTCTCTTTATTTTTTATTCGAATGAATCTGGTATGAACCCCCCTTTGCTCATGGTTTTCATATGATTTTATAGGCTTAAAGAGTTATATTTTTAGGGAGTTTGATCATGATTAAAACTTTAAGTTTGTTGCCTTGTGGATGTTGGTGCCGAGAGAACCGACGGTGGTTGCACGAGTGGTGAGGAGTCTTCGGATGTGGTTGGAATGGGTTGCTGGTTCGGCTCCAACGGGTCGTGGGTTGCTGCTGGGTCAGACGAAAATTAGTATCCACAGATGCTAACATGACATTTTTTAATTATGTTTGGATGTTGGACTATGTAATTCAAAATTTCGAACATTTAAATTTATGTGTGTTTTTTAATTAATAATTTAAAAAAAGGTATTCGGGTAACCAAAATACGGGTATCCGCAAAATTCGGGTACCCGATTACTAGATACCCTCAACATCAGGGTCGGGACACGGGCTGAGAAATCAATTACCGAAGATCCGAGTACCCGACACTTCAGGTATCCGAAAACCCGGATACCTGGATTTGCACACCCCTAGCCGTAAGTCCTCATCTTTGCATAACTTTAGATTGTCCCTCAAGAAACTCTAGATCACCTATGGATTCATAGTCGTCGTTGTTACTTTGGTCATAAGATGCTTAGCTATCATCACCGTCGTCATAATTATTTTTGATGGTTTCGATCATTTGTTCATTTAAAGAAAAGAAAAAACCTCTTTTGTTCTTGCAATTACATATGAAGGATCGATCCTTTCAAGCTTGCTGAAATTTTCTTTAGATAAAGGCAGCTTTATGCCATGCAATGGAAGTCCTAATAGGTTGCATAGAAAATACCCTTTATTTTTTATTTTTGGATACAATAGCAAGAGAATAAATAAAATTTGAACCTTATTTTTACAATGATCTCCTGCTATGATGAGCCCTTCCCCTATAACTTGAACCTTTATGTGCAAATTTTGATGTGTGTGTGACCCTAATGTCATGAACCGTGTTTATATGCTTACCGGGTTTTCTCTTATAAAGAGCATCTCTACTAATCCCCACTTTAATCCGATGATTTCTAGGCCTCAAAGATCTTGTTAAGTGAACTCCCTTGTAGTTTCTCGATCGACCTGATAGTGAATGATTACTTACCTCCATTGGTCTAGAAATGTCATACGAAAAGCTTTTATCATTGTCATTATGATCATCAGAATCTTCACTACTATCAAACTGATTCTCGATTACTCTTCTTCTTCTTCGTGGACGATTTACTCGCTTGACGTTTCGAAGCTTATAGCACAAGAAAGTGCAACAAAATTTACAAGATGAGAACCAGCAAGAAATGCATCCCCATGCCAGTCTACAGATACTATGAGCAATGCATTGACATATACCCACTTTGTATAGCAGATAAAGGTATAGGAGTACTGCAAATCATTGAAGGGACAAATTTAAATTCTTTAAAAAGAAAATGAAGATGAAATCTTAGAGTTGGAAAGAAATAAATGGTTGAAACTTACCAATGTAGGATAGAACCAATGCCATGATCAATTTCAGTACATTGGCAACACAAAAATTCTCTATGTAACAGATTAAATCCCATGTTGATCCACAAACTGAACTGAAAAATGATCATCCAAACATGAAAATAAGATTATTCATCCTTCTTTAAAAAAAAAAAAAATCGATTCATTGGACAAAGAAAGGGGAAATCCATGTTCAAAATGTCGAAAAAGAAGATCCACTCATAATGAAAAAAAGAAACAAAAGTAGGAAATTTCTAGAGACGCCATTGAAGGAATTTTACATGCAGGATTTCCCGGATAGAAAGTCGAGTGGAGAGTGGAAAAGTTTGCCAATGGCGTCGATGAAGCCTGAGAAAACTGAACTGATTACCTTGTCCATCGCCGTCAAAAGCCAAACAATTTCTTCTGGCTTCTGATTAACCTGCGTCTGAGAATATAAAAGAATTAAATATAATATAATTTTAGAGTAAAACTCATTTTTGTCTCTTTTTCTTTTCTTTCTTGCTATAATATGTTTTTTTTCTTAATAGAAGTAACCGTTCACACCTTAACAATAACCACCTTTTCTATTTAAAATACCTTATTTTTAAAATTTCCTTTTTCTTTTGTGCCTGGAAAATTAAACTACCATTTTTCAAAATATAAATTTACAGTCCAAGTCAAGTTTTAGTTTGTAATATACATTTCAATGAAATATAAAATTATCTTTAGTTCTATCTACTGTTTAAAAACAGCTAATATATATTTACAAAATATGATTTTTTTAAAAAAATTAAATTTTAAAAATTAAATTTATATACTTAAATCAAAATTAAATAATAAATGTATTCTTTTCCTATAATATTTTGGAAATATGATGAGTCCTATTAGATCGTTTAATTCGAGAGATATTGAGATAAGACTGTATCTTTAAAAATTTTAAATTTATATATATATATTTTATATTCAAAATTTTATTATTTGGTCTCTATCTAAGTATCTTGAAGAAAATAGTAAGAAAAAAAGTTTCACTCTTGAATTTACGAGCATCACATTTGGGCGTGTGATAGAGAGATAAATGGTTACAAGTTAACCCATGCCACCTGCAACTTCGGCTATCAAATACTTAACCGATTTAACAACGCTTTTTTTTAATAATAAAAAAAAGAATCATAGTGTCCCAAAGCAACTATACAATCTCCTTTTTTGGGTTCCTTAGAAAAATCCAAGCCCGGCGATATCAGTCACAGGTCGGGGCGATGACCTAAAAGATGAAAAGGACGAAGCCGGAGAGTTGTAGAACGGTGCAAGTGGCCTCCGGCTTGATAACGACCATCGCGATTGGCTCTGGAGGTCTGAAACATAATTGGATTCGGGTTTTAGTTTTCGGGTCCTCTTATTGCTTCTCGTTCGCCTAAGCAATGGTGCCGGGAAGCACCCGGGTGAGACACATTCGGGTTTGATTCGGGTGGGTTGATTGAACCGGGAAATCTCGGATCGGGCATTGGGTGTAGACCTAAAAGAGTGAGTTCGGGGATCCGGAGATAGGTTGTAGTAGGATCCAGCTGGTGGAGGCTTAAGCTTTTGCTGAGGAGGTCCGGGCGGAGGACTCGGCGATGAACGTTGGTTTATAAAAGCCGATGTCAGTGGTGGCAATTGCGGCGGAGGCTGCCTCTGTTTTTGTTGCTGATGTTGGAGCTTGGGAACACCGGCTCGGATCTCCCACTTAAAAGGACCAGCTCCAGGCTTTCTGCAGGAATCATCGACTGCCATTTCTTTAACTGAAAACAAATGCTAAAGTAAAAATATAAGCGATCGTAAAACAAATTAGTTTCACTATCTGGAGTGAGTCAAGGTCTTAGGGAGGTTTTAGGGAAGTTTTAGCCTCAGCGGGATTCAAGGCATGAAGGTGGGGCTGGTGGGCTACAAGCTACATGTTGTTGGGTCCATTCACCTATTGGAGTTTTGACTTAGCTTCACTCATAGTTTCAGTCAATAGTAAAAACATAAAGTGAAAACTGCAGTCAAAGTCAATTTCATAATAAACATATTACTTTTTTTAGGTATAAATAAATTATTTAATTAAAATATTAGATATTATAATGATATAATTTGATGTTATAATGATTCACTCATAGTTCCAATCAATAGTAAAAACATAAAGTGTTAAATATTAGACATATAATAACATAATTTGATATAATAATATTTTTTTAATTGAAAGGAAAGTTAATGCTCTAAGCCCTTACATGCATGTAAGGGGGTCATTAACGTCCCTGTCTAAGATACAAGAAAGGTGCAGGGGAGAAGATGAAAAACAATCATTGATCAGTCGGAGGAAAGATCCATCTTGGCTATGAAATCCGTTGCAAGTTAGCTTAACGATAAACTTTCTGAAAATCAACGAATCAAAATAATATTTTTTACTATCACAAAGTGAATACAATATAATATATGTTCAAATACTCTCAATTATTTGATAATGAACTCATATATTCCTACATACGTGATGCCTCAATAAATAATAATAATTTTTTAATCATTGAGATCGTATGGTTTGTATTATCTAAATAAATTTTGAATAATTTTTTTGAAAAGTTGTGAAAGGAAACCAGATTTAGAGTTGCAGGGTGTCGAGACACAATTATTAGGAGGTGCACCGAGATATTGTGATCCATTCAAAATATATTTGTATTTGTAATGATAAACATAGGCTATGATATCTTTGACAGGCCTGCTACAAACGGTAAGATTGGGGGTATTCTTCCCCCTGCTTTTTTGCCCTAGACGTAATTTTAAATGGTTCAAATCAGAAACAAACACATTACTCTCAGAATAATTTGGTCCTATTCATGAATTTTCACTATGCAAAACAAGCACTGTCGTTTTACTACAAGGCAGCATGCAAACAACTCGTACCAAATCAAAAGCTTGGTCCTGAACCTCAATTAGGGTTATTAATGTTTGAAGGGGACACGACGTTGCCCTTAATAGATCAAGCCCTACATGTTGACACCAAATCTCGATAACCAATACTGTGTCAAAATTCTTTATCCAAATAGTCGGGTGAGTGTTTGTATAATTTACTCAAAAAGTTAAATATTGAAAAGGAAAAAAACTGAGAAGACTGTAATTTTGTTCAAAGTGCATATTAAGGTAGGAGAATAAAATTATCCAAGTATCATTCGAATGCATTGACAAACCCTAAAAACACAAACAATATAAGATACAATGTAAGCACACGACGTTTAATATACACTCGAATCATAATAACATACTTCACTATAATTTACCTCCATTAATTAATCCACAATTAAAATCTTCCTGACCATCTGAAAGAATAAACAAAAAATATTTAGGTTTAATATAAGAATATATATATATATATATATATATATATATTTCGTTTAGGTGTTTAGATTTTTTTGTCAAAGTAGATTTTTAACCTTTCAGACGTTAAAATTTAAATTATCTGATTTGTCACGTCCTTTAAAAAGTAGTCAATTAATCAGTATTTTACATATGGCCTAATTTTTAATTTTTAAAATTATATTCATATTTTTTTTAAAACTCATTTTAAAAAAAACATCAACAAAAAAAAAACCCAAAACCCCTAAAGTCTTTAATTACAACCCCTCATTATCGTTGCCAACCATCATCGACTGTTGTTGTTGCTGTTAAACTCATTCCTATTTTCCTTTCTCTTGTAATATTAGTGTGTTTGAGCTCATTGCAAATCTTTTATTTGTTTTCTTGCGAGCTTAAATTTTGTAAACACCCTACCTTAGAAAGGTTTTATTGTTTACTTCTTTTAACCTTGTAAAAGGGGATTGGTTATAGCTTAGCCTGTAAAAAGCTAGGGAGTTGTAAAGGTTATCTATTTATCCTGAAAAAAAAAATTATTGAATTTGTTAGAAAATCCTTAGTGAGGAGCTGAGGCAGTTGATGTAGACTTGGTTGAGAAGCCGAACCACTATAAATTCTTGTGTAAATTTTCCTATCATTTTTACTCCTTACTCCCTAAACTCAAAAAGCCAATTCACCCCATCTTGGCAAATTATTCGGTTGATCCTTGAGCTTCATCAAATTTCTAACAATTGGTATCAGAGATTGACTCATTCAAAGGTCTAACAACTTTGAGATGATCATTGAAGAAGATCTATCCATTTCTGACACAACCGAGAAGATGACTTCCACCTTCGGCTTGTTCCACATAGAAGACTCTGAACCGATTGACAGGCCTCCATACTTCAATGGAGCTAACTACCATCATTGGAAGAAATTAATGAAGTTATTCATCCAATCCAATGATCTCGATGCATGGGAGATGATCAAGAACGGCTACTCGTCTCCAAAAAAGAAGACGAAGGAGTGGAGTGCCCAAGAACGGAATAAAACTCAATAAAATGCTAAGGCCATGCACATGTTGTTTTGTGCATTTGGTTTCGATGTCTATGAAGGAGTTTCTTCTTGTTCAAATGCCAAGGAGCTTTGGAATAAGCTCGAAGAGATTCATGGAAACAAAAAAGAATAACCAACAAATGTGGTGTGCTTAATGGCTCTTGAAGAGCCCGATGTATCTTCTAACACTAGTGAATTTAATTCATATTCTTTTAATGCGTTACAAGATGCATTGATGAATTATTTTTTGAGTTTGAGACCATGAACTCCTAATACAAGAAAATAATTTCAAAACATAAAGTTGAAAACGATTTTATTTTGAAAGCAAAATTGATTTTGAAAAACAAAATGAAATTTTGAAAAAAGGATTTAGAGTTTTAAAAAATGAAAATTTTGAAAAAGAAAGTTTTGATTTAAAGATTAAGCTTGAATGCTTAACAAAAGAAAATGAAATCATTTAAATAATTTATCTAATTTCATAATGACAAAATACTCACATTGTCATTATCATGGTCACAAGGAACATACTTGTTCTTTAAAGAAAGGAAAATGTTTTAAAATTAAAAAAATATGGATTCCTAAAAGAACAAGGGGCATTGAAACTATTGTTCAAGGATCCAAAGCAATTTGGATACCAAAATTCAAATAAATGTCTCTTGTAGGTGTGTGGGAGCAATGGTGATAAAAGTGAAGATACTCAAATGTTCTAGCCACACTTGAAAAGGAAAGGGTAACCTCTAAGTTTAATGTTTTTGTTTCGATTAATTGGTTGCCTTTTTGTTGTATGCATGCATGAGTTTTGATTTTAAATAATTTTATGTTTTCTATCTCATGTATGTTAAAAAATGTTGTGATGAACATTTTCTAAAGTTTTAATGATTTTTCTTAAATGTTTATTCATCATAATGAATTTTGGTCAAAATTTGTTTTAATGTTTTGCTTTTACAAATTTTAATTTTTGACCTTAATTTAAATGTTTATTCATGTGATTTATTGCAAATGATATCTCTCTAACAATTGATATCAATTTTTAAATGCATAACATTTTTGGATAGCTTTATGCACATGCACTTAAATACAATAATTGGTATTGCATAAAGTTTATTAGACTTGGATATATTGAATTTCATGTGTTTCTAACTTGTTTGTTCATCTTTGTTGAAATTCAATGTCTTTTAAGTGTCATGCTTTTAAATTCAAATTTTTTGTTTGGAATGTATTTATTGAGGAGGAGCTTTGATTTTTCAAATGATTTTATGCTAAATTTTACCACTTACTTTCCATTGTTATTTTTGAACTTTAAAGTTGAATTATTTTTATATAATAAAAAGGGGAAGAAGTATGGGTTTGAAAAATTCAATTTCTCAATGAAAAAGGGGAAGCTTTAATATTTTCCAAATATTTCTCATTTTCATGAAATATTTTATTAAGGGGGAGTTTTGCCAAAAACATTTTTTCAAATGTTTTGTCATATCAAAAATGGGATATTGTTGAACTATGTTTTATAATATTTTGATATAACAAATTAAGGCAAAAATATTTTTGGACTTGATTGAATTTTTTCAAAGTTTTCAGAAATAATTCAAAGTCCATTAAACTATAATTTGAGCACAAAACTGTTTTTCTGGGTACGTAGTACCGATACTATTCTTACAATATCGATATTACATGAACAATACTGACACTATTCACGTGGTACCGATACCAAATGTAAGAGAAGTATCGATACTCTCTAGGTGGTTTTAACACTACCAGTAATTTTTCAAATAGCTCAAATTCCAAAATGCAAAATAGGTACCAATACTCAAAGGGGTACCGATACTACTTTACATAATGATATCGATACCATGAAGCATAGTACCAATAGTGGTCAAGCCCAACGGTCTTTAATAACTAGTTTATTTAAAAATTACAAAGGTAGTACCGATACTCATTAAAGGAGTACCGAAACTCCCTGTCCTGGGCAGTTTTATTTTGAAGAAAAATAATCCCCATCAGCTCCAAATCATCCCCAACGACCACAAACTCATTCCAACATATAAAACGAAGTTGAGAACACTTGAAGAAGGGTTAGAATGTAACACCCATAACCCGTATACGGAAACCAATACGAATTATAGATGTCACATTATAGATTCAAAACATTTCTTAAATTAAACTAAGTAAAATTTTGTTTTATACAAGCAATCACTAGTTTCAAGCTGTGATCGACAGTTCTGATCAGTTTTATAAAATAAATAAGACTGTCTAGCACGTTTGTTTTAAAACCCAAATTAATTTTATTTAAGCATAGTTTAATATCATAATATTATTTCATACTATTAATTATATTTAATACCAATTATATTAAGAAATTGCAGATATTTCATTCT